ACTGAGGACTTCCTGGTGGTGCAGTGGTTAAGAATCCATCTGCCAATGCAGGGGACACGGGTTCCAGCCCTGGTCTGGGACGATCCCACATGCTGCAGAGCAACTAAGCCCGTGCGCCACAACTACTGAGCCTGTGCTCTAGAGCCTGTGTGCCACAACTACTGAAGCCCACGAGCCTAGAGCCCGTGCTCCGCAACAAGAGAAGCCACCGTAGTGAGAAGACCGTGCACCACAACAAAGAGTAGCCCCCACTCACCACAACGAAGAGTAGCTCCCACTCACCACAACTAGAGAAAGCCCGCACACAGCAATGAAGACCCAATGCAGCCAAAAATAAATAAAATAAATAAATTTATTTAAAAAAAAAAAGTAGAATGGTGATTACCAGGGGCTTTGGGGGAGTGGCAGGGGAAGGCTAGTTATTTTTTAACGGGTATAGAGTTTGAGATTTGCAAGATAAAAAAGTTCTAGAGATTTGTTTCACAACAATGTGAATAAACTTAACACTACTAAACTATACACTTAAAAATGGTTAAGATGGTAAATTTTATGTTACTTTTTTTTACCACAATTAAAAAAAAAAAGACTAACGGGTCATGTCAGAAAACATAGGAGCCCGCTTGAAGGATTTCTCATTGGTCAAAACTGGGACAAATTGAGCATCAAAAAGAATACTGACTATAATTGATTAGAAGACATTGATTTTTTTAAATTCATGAGATAATAGTGATACTAAAAAAAAAATTGAAATCTTCATACAAGTATGCTAGCTAGTACTTGTAGAAGAAACAATATATTTAGAAAACAAACATTTTCTATGCAACTCTGTGTAGTAGCTGATTCCAGCAGAGATCACCAATGAATGCTCAAACCATTAGGTGAACAATTGTTGTGGAACAGGATATTCAAATGGTACCAAGGAATCACCCCACAGATGACTTACTAATTACAAAGGGGAAAATGTACCTTAGAATGGAAAGATATGGCAGTTAACACTTTAACAAAGTGATCAAACTTAGCATCACTCTTAGTAGAACAATCTGTCATTAGGTGGTGCCTCCTTATCTGATATGGGATGAACACACAATGGTACCTATGAATTATTCCAGTTTATTTTAAACGCTTAGTCTGAATCTAATCCCTCCTCTAGACCCAACTTCCAGTTTACAGGAAATATAGGGGATGGAGGAACAAGTTAAACAACGCCACAAGGAAACAATCAGACACAATTCAGAAGGTGGGACAAACTACAAACCAAGTGACCTAGATTAAGAAAGACTAAAGAGACAATAACTAAACACATGAACCTTGATTAGATCTTGTTTGAACAATTTACAAGAAGACATTTTTGGGAAAACAGGGGAAACTGGAATATGGACTAGATATTAGATAATTTTAAGAAATTATGATTAAATATAAATTGCCAAGAAACATGTGAAAAATGTTTAACCTCATTAATTATTAAAAACAAAATGTTAAAATTTACCTGTCAAATTGGTGACAAAAATTAATACAATTTTTTTGGGCAGGACAATCTGGTAACGTGTAACGAAAGTTTTAAAAATGTTTATATACTTTACCCAGCAATTCCACTTCTAGGCATTCATCCTATAGAAATAAGAGTTGTACATAAACATCTATGAACCAGAATGTTCACTGCAGCATTACTAATGAAAATGGACATAAGCTAATTATCAAGATGGAATAATAAATGATACTTCATAATCATTAAAAATCTTAATTTGAGATATTTAACATGGAAAGGTCCCTAATACATTAAGTAAATGGAAGAGAGTAGTTATTTTTTGTGATCCTAGAGGGCAGAACTAGGAACTACCATTGGAAGTTATAAGGAAGCACAGTTTGGCTCAATGTAAGGACTAATTTTCTAACAATTAGAATTTTCTGAAAAGAATCTAAAAAAGAATGAACATATGTGTATGTGTAAGTGAATCACTTTGCTGTACACCTGAAACTAACACAACATTGTAAATCAACTATACTCTAATTTAAAAAAAAAAAGAATTTTCTAAGCAATGAATGGCCTGCTTCATGAGGTGATGAGTTCTGCACTATTAGACTCTAAGCAAAGGCTGAAGGGTCACTTGGCAAAGATAATACAGAACAGATTTATATGTTAGGAGATTAAGGAGATCTTAATGGTCCTTTCCTACTCTAAGAATTTATAATCCCATATAAAGTTATCCATTAGCTGGGATGTCAGAAAGAAAGTGGTTGGTATTTCTTTGTAAATGCTATTAAAGACCCATGTGGCACTAAACTAAAAAGAGATTATACCTATATTACAATAATAGAGTTGAAGAATGATTTACATTATTGTATTCTGTTATCAATAATATATACATTATTGATAAAGTAAAAGAAGATGATTGATTAACCTAATGGAGAGGATTCAAGCTGAATTGATAGGAACTAATTTTGAACCTGCCCCCTATTAATTTCTCTGTGTCTAATAAGGAACCTGAAGTGAAATAGTGAAATAGCACTAAACATCTCAAAAAGAAGGGCAGGAGACGCTCTGCTCCTTCTTTTTGATTCTAGCTGCCCAGTAATTCATATATAAAGAGAGGAGAGAAAGAATATGCCCACACCCCCCCTGCAATATGGTTTATAAAATCTTTAAATGTTGGATGTATGACTATTAGGCAGTGGAAAGTGACACAGCATTTAGTATCACATTTGGTTCCTGGAAGGCAGAAGCAAGCACTGGAGGTCTATGAAGGTTTTAGAGTAACTGGTAATGTTGAAAATTCTTAGATGTAAAAAAGAAATCCCCTAAAAGATGCACTTAAAAAACCAACCAACCAAACAAACAAAAACCAACCTTTTATTATGGAAAATTTCAAATATACACAAAAGTAGAGAATAGTATAATAAGCCTCCCCCTCCCCCCCAATCACTCAGCTTCATTTATCAACATTTTTGTAAGGCTGTTTTCTCTAATCTTTCAGGTTGAGTTCTTTCGTTTTGTTTTGTTTTTAGATTTAAAAGCAAACACCTGACATCACACTATTTTTACCTATAAAACTTCAGTATGAGAAGATACACTTCCTTGCTAATAATACTAAATATTTAATAAATGTTAGTTGCTATGGCTAGGTACTGTTCTATGCATTATACTACTACTTACATGTATAATTTTCCCATAAACTAAGCCTCACTGTTATCTCCATTTTATAAATGAGAAAACTGAGTTTTTACTGGCTCAAGGTCACAAAGCCAGTAAGCAGTGGTGCTAGGATATGAACCCAGAAGTTAACTCTAGCCCAGACTTTGTTTTCCCGACCACTAAAGCAGGCTGACTTTTCTCTATTCTAGTTATTCTAGCCGTTCGTTATGGCATATAGATTGTTGTGATAAAGTGGAAGAGGGACTGCTGAATGAGGAAGAGACTGGAAAAGATGCAATAATATGAGCAGCTGCTCACTGCTCTTCTTGTGAAATTTTCTTTTCTAAATGCCCCAAATGAGAAAGAAAAATGTGATTGGATATCATCATTGTCAACTGCCTAGGATACAAAAGAAAGTAAGTCACCTCATAGAGGGAAAGCAATGATCAAGTCTCTTCCACAGAGGTTGAATATAGACGAACTTCTTTTAATTTGCCCCTCTAATGAAAGCGGGGGGTGGGAGTGGGGATGTCTCTAGTTCCACAAGTCCTTTAGTTCAAGCAAAGTGATCTCACACATAAGGCCGAGTAATCAGTATGAGCAGTATTTGACTGCTTAATGAAATCTCTGGGTAAAAAATAAAAGGACCCCGGAATATAAAATTCTTCTGGCTGATGTCTCAGAGTTCTAAACCTTTTACTCACAGCCTTATAAAAAGAAAAGAAAACTACTAAGTAATTCAAGATTTGTCAAAGAAAGGGGAGTTCTCCTTTGATCTTCAGCCAAAAATTCTTCTAAAACCCTCCCTACTGATTTACAATAGATCTTAGAGTAACCGAACTACATCATCTTCTCTGTGGAGCCTACCAAGGGCATCCTCCTTCCCCATCTTCCGCTCTGCCCAAGCACAAACAGAAGAGCTCCTACCCTGCTCCTACTGCATTTTATACGTAATTCTACTAGAGCACTAATCGATACTGCAGTGTAATTATCTTTTCCTCTCTGGATTATCAATTCCCAGAGGTCCGAGACCCTACCTTACTCTTTACATTTCCAATCCCTAATCTTCAAACTGAGCACCACTGAAAGTACTCAAGAAAGGTGTGCTGAATGAATAGAGAAATAAGCTAAAGATGATAGAATATGGAGTGATCTTTATAAGAAGGAACTGTTTTACCAGTATTTTCTAATCTCTACACCTTCAGTACAGTTCACAAGCTTCCCTTTAGGAATTTCCCCATCAGCCAATAGTTTAGGATGAATGAATGAAAACATGGACTATAGTCTCTTGAGGGCTGGAGAAAGAATTCAGCCGTTTTGGTTTGCAACAGCTTTTAATGAACTAGGGAGAACTCAGACTGAAGGATCTGGAAGATAGTCAAAGCCTTTCAAGAGCTTTTATTCAGATGCCAAGATGGTATTTGAAATGCCTGCTTTTTACATTTAAATGCTGAAGGCAACAGGGAAAATAATTCCAAATAAAAAACCAATGATTACCAAGCAGTGCCTGGTCGTCCACTACTAATTTTTATTTTTTATTATTTTTTTTCCTACTAATTTTTAGACAAAAAAATCCGAAGCAAAAAAATCCCTAGCAAAAAAGGTCTGGTTACAGCCCTCAGCCATGGGGGAGACACTTTTCATGTACTGGTATGAGTCTCCTTGGACCCCTCTCTAATACTGGTTAGCCAAACCACTTTGAGGATTATCTGGTTAGGCAATCCCTTGAAGTAAAAATCTTTGGATAAGAATTTATCTTTCTCACCAATTTACAAAAATTCAAGACAATCTCTCAGTTTAAGCTATATTACACTGGAAAAAAAAAGTCTCATCACATTTTTTATATGTCATTCTTTGATTACTGTGTTACCTTGGTTAGAGTCCACTGGGTCTTCTATATGAGCAATGACATTCCTGAGATAACTTTGCTTCTGCTTTTCTAGATCTGATGGTGAAAACGTCGGAATATTAGTCCTTGAACAAAGCAAACCAGGAGGAAAAACAATCAGTTAGAACCATGAATATAGTGCTTTGTACAGAGAAGACATATACAACTGATGGATTAGAACAACTAACTCTCAAAACACTCTCTAAGATCCAATGACAAAAGACAGTGTTAGTCACGTAATATGAAGCTGCAACCAAGTATGGAGTTGAGAGAAAAAAGAATAGATATAACCTGCTGTTAACAAGGCATAGGGACTTCCTTGGTGGTGCAGTGGTTAAGAATCTGCCTGCCAGTGCAGGGGACAGGGGTTTGAGCCCTAGTCTGGGAAGATCCCACATGCCACAGTGCAACTAAGACCGTGCGCCACAACTACTGAGCCCGCGTGCCACAACTACTGAAGCCCGCGCGCCTAGAGCCTGTGCTCCGCAACAAGAGAAGCCACCCCAATGAGAAGCCCATGCACCGCAACAAAGAATAGCCCCCACTCGCTACAACTAGAGAAATCCCGCGCACGGCAACGAAGACCCAACGCAGCCAAAAATAAATAAATAAATAATTAAAAAACCAAAACAAGGCATAGCAAAGCAAAGCAAAGACTGCCTACTCCATAGAGACAGAAAGCATTTGTTGAGTAATTCAAGGTTAGTCAGGAAATAGCTAACTTCATAGAGCCACAGAAAAACTGAATAAGATAAAGACCAAAAAGAACCAGCTGGATGTGGCAATTAAAACATTGGTGACCTTGGCAAGAACAATTTCTGGCCCTCACTCATGCTGATTACACGGTACTAAGGAGTCTGTGGATGAGACAGTGAGTTTATTACTGCTCCAAGTAGCCTTAATTTCCACTGTATACGATTCACAAAGTTCCTTCAAGTCACCAAAGCAAAACAAGAAAAAAACCCCAGAAAACTGGGATTAGGGGTGGTAGGAATAAATTTAGTATCTGTGTAATCAAAAATTTTAAAAGAATCTCGTTGTAAGGAAGCCAATCTGACTCAACCTAAAAAAACAGCTTTGCTAATTGAAAAGGCCCATGTAGAGATACTGCCATCTCCTGGCAACAAGGGAACAGATTGAAAAGGTGACCCAGATCGGCAAACTCTGTAAAATTTTCTCCCCAAGGACAGTTATATGCAAGTTCGGAGAGATGACTAAATGATTTTCTACATAGTTATATCTTAACATTTTTGTAAAAATTATTCTAACTTCCTATATCTGTGACCAAGTTTCCCCACACTCAGGGAAAGAAATCTTACATTTATACAGTGCTTTCACTAATATGTCTTTTTTTCTCTTCAAAATAACCCTGTGAGGCAGCAGGGAAGGCATCATTAGCCTCATTTTATTGACAAAGAAACCAAGGTCAGAGAATATTTGACTTGTTCAAGGTCACACAGTTATTGGTAGTCCCAGAACTTCAAGTATGCTTACTTCTGGTGTAGGGCTTTTCCCCCACACTAAGGAGAAACTCAGGAGAGGAAGAAAGCAACTGAAGAGAACCAACAGAAACCAGAATACTTCACTATACCATTACCTTGTTTTGGTTTGCAGAACAGGAATGACTTTGCCTAGTCTTTTTTCATGGACCTTCAGCTTCCCAGAATCCTTGTCAAGAACATCCTGCGTTTTTTCAGAGCAGAAAGAATGAAGAAGCAAAGATGGCCCTTAGTTATAACAAAACATCATTTATGGAAATATTCTTGAACTAACGGCTACATAGGCATACTCGTGAACCCTAGTGTGTACCAGGCACTAAGGGAGGTGCTTTAAATGAGATAATGACGGTAATCTCAAGAAAAAAAAAACCCTAAGCGGTATGGACTGTTACACCCATTTGACAGATAGGGAATCAGGCTCAAAGAGGTTAGGTAAATTGTCCAAGATTTTTCAGCTCTTCAGTGGCTGACTCAGAGCTGTTTTATCTAATATATACAGCGTGGCAACCAAAGATTGAGACTTAGGCTGAAACCCAAAGAAAGGAGAAATAATAAAATCATCATCATCTTAGTCTATTCAGTAAATGGTTAATTTAGTACTATGTACCAGTTACTGTCAATAAATTATTTAATTAATCTTTACTATACTGTAAAGTATCATTTGCTCCAATTTATAGATAAGAAATTGTGAGGAAACAGAGAAGCTAAATAATTTGCCCAGGGTCACAGTGCTAGTCAGGATTCAAACCCCAATTTATTTGAATACAAAGCTCTGCTATACAGCTTCTGAATGAAAATAATTTCATTCCGCTCTTCACCTTGAAAAATATACTTACTTTGTTTGATGAACTGGAAACAACCGGAAACCTCATTTCAAAACTTGATTTATGTGATCCATTTCTCCAGGCTGACCCCGTATTAGGAGTCTCTGAATGGTCCAAGATCTGAGAGAATACAGGTGTAGGTTTCTTACTGTCAGACATATTTTTATCAGAGACAGTTTGTTGAAAGTTACTGTTTGAAGAAGGGAGTGGGGGCCCATCATAGGCAGAGTTACTGAAGCTGATCCCTTCAGATTCTGTGCAAATTGTGCTCTCATTTAGGCTAAGACCATCTTCTCTCATCTCTTCTCCAAGGGAGGAGGGTTTTTCAGTAACTTTGGATGTATCAGTCTTGTCCTTATCAAGTACAACATTACAAACTGTTGGATCAAATGGTGCAACTGTAACTTTTATAAGATTCTTTTCTAGTGCAAAGCGTCTGTTCAATGGTTTAGTAGGAGTTGGTCCATGACCAACTGATGTATTTAGTTGAGGTAGTTTGAAGAGGCTAGTGGTCTCAGCTTCTGGTCCCAAGCTGTACAATGAATTTTTCTCTTGGGGAGTATCAAGTGGAATTTGACTCCCTTTCCCTCCCTTCTCAACATTCCTGCTGTCATCGTTAGGCAAGCCTCCTCCCCAAGAAAAGTGCTCATTTGATAGGTCATCATCCTTCAAGAGTTCCTGAATCTCTTCCTCTGTGAAACTGAAATGGCCATCATCTTCCCCATCAGACAGCTCCAGCAAGGAGTCATCCAATCCGTCCTCATCCAAGGAATCCCAAGAAAATGGGGCATTGTCTTCAGGCAAAAGAGAGGTACCAGAAGACTGTTCAGAGGGCACTAGTGAGCACGGCATATCTGGAGAAATAAAAGGCAGTTTCGCTGAGGAACAGGAAATACCCTTATATCAATTCCAATCTGCTCTAGAGAGTGGTGGTGTCTTAGTATTTCAAATTCTTTGCACTATGACTTGTAACATGAGAAAGTTTTAAGATATTTAAGCTTACCAGAATCATGGAAATATATATCAGAACAAAGAGATACTTTTTTTCCTATCAAAGTGGCAAAAATTAAGATGACACAGTAATCTAGTTTGGTGAGAATGCGAGAAACAAGGATCCTCACACACTATCAGTGACAGTATAAGTCAGTACAATATTTTGTGGAGAGAAATTTGGCAACAGCATTTGACCCAGCAATTTCACTTCTGGAAATTTATCTTGCAGAAGTACCTGTACAAAGGCACATAGATACATTTACAAAGATGTTCAAAGTAGCATTATTCAAAACATCCAAATATTGGAAACAACCTAAATGTCCATCACCAGAACTGTTCAGTAAAATCATGGTACACTCATGTTATAGAATACTTTACAATTATTTAAAAACACAATGAAGTGGATCTGTATATACTTTACAATTATTTAAAAACACAATGAAGTGGATCTGTATATACTATCATGGAATAATATCTATAACATACAAACAAAATAAATATGTATGTAAAATGTTTGGATTTTCACAGTTTACACTTTTTAGAAAGCAAACATGTATTACTTCTGAAAATGAAAAACAAAAAACAAAAAAAACTTTAAGCATACAATAAGATAAAGAATTGTCTTTCATACTGTGTGGAGCTGCTGGTGTGATCTCTGCCTTTGCCACGAGACCAAATGGAAAAAGGGTTCAGCTCCTGCTAGCTGTTCTTTTCAGGAGAGTTGTCAAAATGACTGACTCCCACCTTCCTGCAGGCACAAAGAAAATTAGAGGATCTTCTCATCACTTTCAACTCTGCTAATTACAAAGTCAACTGCATTATGCTTTAAGGTGCTCCATCTATTAATTTTGATCTTGATTTTTTTTAAATACCACAAAGTTGGATTTCGAGTCAAGAACATCAAAGAAAAATCTTTAGAGGAAAAATTATGCAACTAAGGAACTAATTTTCCTCCTCCCAACAATTTATACTTTCTTAAGAATATCATTTGCTCTAGTAAGATGAGTACTGTCTTGAGTCCAAAGACCTGGGTTGTTGTCCTGGTTCTGTCAATAACCAGCTGTGATAATTTGGGCAAGCCACTTAACCAGGGACTTGTTTCCTCATTTACAAAATAGGGAAGGGATGGAGAACAGGGATTAGGTGATGTCTAAGATTCCCCCAAGATCTAAAAGTTATTATTATGACCATACATATAAAAGCTATAATTATGACCATACATAATACATACAATATATGTGTTATGACCATACATATATACATATATAATTATGATCATACATTTTCAATACATATATAAACACAAAGAACAGGTCTGGAAAAATACAACGCAAAATTGATGACTGTCATAACCTGCGGGGGAATCCTGAGAGGACAAGGGGAGACTTTAGTATTTTACTTTTTTACTTGAATATTTATATATTACTTGTATAATTAAAACCTAGTTCTTAAATAGCTAATGACGGACCTAATCTCTATTTTCTAGATGGCAAAGGTGATAGAAAGCTGATATTTACATATCACATGTCAACAGCTAAGAAGCTATAAGAAACAATCACCAAACTCAATAATTTGGAAAATTCTTGTAGCCTTTTAACTGTGAATTCTCCCCCAACCCACTTCCCTCCCTGAATTTTAGTTTTGGTTCATGCACTCTTTCAGGAAACATTTTCTGAGCTACTATCCTCACACAGCACTGAGCTAGATAATTTGTCTCTATAAGATTTCTAAGAAATAAAGATATGATTTCCACCCTCAAGGAATGTATAATCTTCCTACAGAGACAAAACTGAAAGTTACGTACCAATATGAGAAAATACAAAATGCTATGGACAATAAAGTACTATAGAAAGAGGGAATTCCCTGGTGGTCCAGTGGTTAGGACTCCATACTCTCACTGCCTAAGGCCCAGGTTCAATCCCTGGTCGGAAAACTAAGATACAACAAGCCGCGGGGCGGGGTGCAGCACAGCGGGGCGGGGTGGGGAGAAGTACTAGAGAAAGTTAGAAGGAAATGGGAAGGATTACAGAATTTTAGAATTAGGAGGGACTTATGTAATGTATAGCATGGTGACTATAGTTAACAATAGTGTATTTTTTATTTTAAAGTTGCTAAGAGAGATCTTAAAAGTTCTCATCATTAGAAAAAAAATTCCTAACTGTGTGAGGTAATGTATGTTAACTAAACTTATTGTGGCAACCATCTTGCATTACGTACATATATCAAATCACGTTGTATAACTTAAACTAATACAATGTTATATGGCAATTATATCTCCAAAAAACTGGGGGGAAAACAAGTTAAAGAAAAAGGCTTGTCCATCTTAGAGATGAGATGGGACAAAAAGGGAAGAAATATTAAGCACCTGTTATAAACTACGCACTGTGAGACACATTTTACAACTCTAACCCCTCAATATAACTCTATAACACAGATCTTATCAAAGAAACTAAGCTGTTATATTTAAACTTAAGAGTTGCCATGGCTTTTTATCTTATTTTACCAATATTTCAGCAATTGGGAGACAGTTCTAGGCACTGAAGCAGGTGTCTCTATGAAAAGTAATTTCTCTGGCCAGTGACTGGGTTATATTATAGAGTGAAGTTATTTCTTCAGGCAGCAGTAAGAAAAAAGTTTACTTCTGGAAAAATTTTTCTTTTACTTAACGAAGTTTGTGGGTGTCAAGCACAAGTATCACAGGCACAGGGGTTAAGGAGCCACATTTCCGAAACTGAAGCTCTTTCTGCGCCACCACCCCCACTCTCCAACTCTTTCCAAAAGGTCTAGTCCTGGGAGTTCCCAGGCAGTCCAGTGGTTATGATTCCGCACTTCCACTGCAGGGGGCACGGGATCCCAAATGCAGCATGGTGCCGCCAAAAAGAAAAACAAAACAAACAAACAAAAGGTCTAGTCCAAGCACTTGCTTAATCAAATGAAGAGTTCAATACATTTTCACTTTTGGGAAACTAAAGTTCAGAGGCATTTAGTATACCAAGTATACAGAGTTAATATGCTAGAACAAGGATCCAAACCCAAGTCTAATTCCAAAGACAATGTTTTTTCTTGTTTTTTTCTACCACCCTTGTGATAGACTTGCCCTGGATCAGTAAGCAAATGGCAGAGCCTTCTATATTCAGTACACTCTCTAATATACTACGAAGGATGCAGACATCAAAAAGGGCTTTTGGTCCCTTGGCAAAAATAATTTAAGCCACCTTATTTTGCACAGGCTTCCCTTGATTTCCCAAGTGGAATGAAATAACATGAGAAATAACTGTGAATGTGGCCAAACCTCACTGGAAGAAAAACATCACTACTTGCAAACTTTACTGTGCACACAAAGGACCACTATTCTTCATAACCACTGAAAGCATCAATTCCTATGCCACATGACATCCACAGGCACAGAGCTGGCTCTTCTGAGCTTCTCTCATAGAATGTTCCAATAGGTCTAGGAGCAAAAGCATGCAGAATACCATATACATATAACATTTAACTGGCACAAATCATTCTCTTCACAATTTTATTTCCTCATTTTAAAAAATACTTTTTATTATAATTTAAAACATATACAAAAACAGCGTAATAGTATGAATTCCCACATACGCATCACACAGCTCCAACTATCGACCCATAGCTAACCTTGCCCCATCCACTTCCCCCTTTACCAGATTATTTTGAAGCAAGTCCCAGGAATCACATCATTTCATCTGTAAATAACAAGAATTCCTCATATAAAATATCCAGTTCATATTTCCAGCTATTTTATAAATGTCATATTTTTTAAGATAAAAAAAAAACAGTATCCAAATAAAGGCCATATATTGCAATCGGCTGATAGGTCTTGTGAGTTTTTTAATCTACAGATTCCCATCTTTTTTTTCCTTACAATTTATTTGTTAAAGAAACAATAACATAAATTGTGTATGGATACATATATATACATCATTAAATAGGAATAAGGAACACCAAGTTCAGGATAGTGACTACCTCTGGTGGTGGGGAGGGAAGAGGAATGGCAAGGGGGTGTGAGTAGGTTCAATTCTATCTGTAATGTTTTATTTCTTTAAAAAACATTAATAAGAAAAGACCTAAAACAATAAAGCTAGGTGGTGGGTATAACAGTATTGTTACATGGTATAACTATAATTTTTATATGCTTGAAATATTTAATAATAAAAACATTTTAAAATTAAGAAGTCAGTGGGGAAAGATACAATGATTACATTCTGAAGTTTCAAATGTCCTCCCTTGTAAAATAGGGACCATCACAGTACCTACCTCATAAAGCTGTTGCAAGAATTAATGAGATCATGAACATCAAAGTACTTAGCATACTACAGGCACAACGTAAAAGCTAAATTAGTAGTGGCTGGTTATTATTTTACCCCACCATCATCATCTCCCTGACCCCTGAAGAGTCAGTCAGTCTTAAGATAAGCACAGTAATGGTAGGAAAAGATTGTTAAACCGACAGGAAACTTCCCCTGGTCCCTGCTTGTTAAGAAATTATTCAGTATGCTCTAATCCCTTCTAATTTAACCCAGCATCTTGTCAACCACACTGTCACAATAAATTGGTTAAAGATGAGGCCGTATGGACATTTGAAATATCAGGCAAATTCTGCAAATTAACGGTCACTGAAGTGAGACACTGGACTAAAATTCAGAGACCTCTGTATTTCACTTGAAGTCTCTGAACCTCAATACAGATGAGAACACCATTCTGAAACATGGGGATAATTAGTCACTGTTAACTTCGAACACAGATTATCATGAGGATCAAATGAGGGGATGTTTATGAAAGCATTCTCAACCTAAAAGCCTTATACTAATGAAAGTTGATATTTAATAAATCTGCAAGGGAGGAAAAAAAATCTCGGATAAAACTGAAGTTCTAAAGTGAAGTTCCACAAGACAGCCTTAGTACTTCCCTGTCTGCCATTCCACCATCACCTGCCTTTCTTGGCACTTGCTTTGTAGTGATCTGAAATATGAGGATCTCCTTATTTTTAAAGGAAAAATATTTTCACCATCTCTCAAGTCTATCTCTTAATTCTCTGCTCCCCATCCCTTCTGTGACCCTATTCTGTCCTTCCATGTCTCTCTCACCTGTCCACCCCCCTCTTCACACTTCAGTTTACCACCCCCTCCCGCTGTTCTCTAACCTCCTGGTTGCAACTTCAGAAACTGGCTCCCTTTCTATTTTTATCGTACCTAAGAAAACCTACTGCCTTAAAGCACAAAGCCTTATTTTATTAAGGCCACGAAAACTGCAACACCAGACACAACCCCACATCCCTCTTTCAAGGCTCTAAAGCCAAGACCATTACCAAGCTGGATCTGACAGGTATGGCCAAGGGAAAGGATTATTTCCAAGAGACCGGACTTCCCCAATGACCTTTGATTTCCAACCTTTCCTACATGCAATACATGTGAGACATACAGCACTAAAGGCACTCAGTAGGCTTTATCACTCCGTAAAACGGCCATAAAGTTTAATCAAAATCAAACTGAACTGAAATTATCTGTGAGAATTCTGCAACGCCCTTTGCCGTAAACACTGCAGGACAGAAAAACGACCCAGGGCTGGAAATCTCTGCTTGAGGTAACGTTTCGCTTAGATAAGGGTGCCAGGACATCATCCCACATGGGCATAGAGACAAAATACTTCCCAGCTGCAGCAACAGGTTTCTTTTTAAAAAGAAAATGTCTTTTAAATGATTTAGATAGGTTTGCTAAAGCTTGAAGCCTTTAACAAATCCACAGGAAACTGGAGGTCAGGTTGGGGCAGCAGGAACACAACTCAATCACTTCCTCTCCGGGGCCCACCCTGCAGTGCCAACTGCCCGCCCTCCAGCCCAGGAAGGAACCGGTACCGCCTCCAGTCCTAGAGCGTTAGGAGGAAGGGGAATCGCAGTTCACCTTTCGTAGGATACGGCTTGTCCGCCCCCAGCTCTCCCTCAGAAGCGCTGCGACACGGCATCGCCCTCGGGGCTGGGACTTCGCACTTCCCGCCTCCGGCTCCCCTCCTCCCAAAAGACCAAGAGTTCCCGCCTCCCGCGAAAGGCGGGAGAAGCGCGGGGCTTGCTGCCCACCCCTCCCCCAGCAAGAGCAAAAGCGGCCCGCCAGCAGGCCAGCGCAGTGCACCCTCACCCTGCGGATGGCTGCCCACCCCACACCTCAGCTGGACCCGGGCCTCCGCTCCCCCCTGGGGCGGCTCAGCCTCTCCACCCCCCAGCCCCCCGCTCGCAAGGCGCGGCCGGAAAGACCGCGATCTTCTGCCTACCGACACCCTCCCGGCCCCGTGGGGTAGAGAGCAGAAGCACTCCCTCCATCTCCACCTCCAGCCCCCCCGCCCCCACTGGGTAGGGAGAACGGACCTCACTCCCCCTCTCGGGTAACCAGACGGCCTCCCTTTGCCTCGGCAGAGTGAGGGGCATCTATCGCCCGCCGACGTGGAGGTGGGGGGCAGAGACACTCCCCCCCCCACCGCCATCACCTCAGAAACGACAACAAGCCCTTCTCCCGCCAGGGTGAGGGCCTCTCAACCCCTCAACGGGGCGGACGGCTTGCGCGGCCCTCTGGAGAAGCAACAGGCGACCCCATCCCCCTCCCAGCCGAGGAACGCCGACCCCCTCGTCCCTCAGCTGTTCACCTCCAGAAGCCGGGCCCAAGCCTACGTGAACGACTGCACCTCACTCCGCCCCCTGCGCCATTTTATCGACCCCTCCCCGACCTCCCCCACCGCGAGGCTGCCGGGCCAGCGCCAGGGGGAGGGCAAACAGGCAGTGATTGGCAGGAAACCGCCCCGCCTCTCAGAAGGTTGTGCCCCGCGCAGGCGCCGCAGCTCCGCCCTCCGCACCGCTTACCCCACCTACTGGCTCCACCCCT